GAGAAAATATCCAAAGGATGCTAACTACCCGGGACCTCTGAGACAGTAGATCACACTCTCCAAGACTGTACCAAATACAACATTTCAAGGCTAAACTTTTGGCCAAGAGAAACATCGGTGCAAGCCCAGTTTTACGGGACGCTGAGTGAATTACAAAAGACAGTGAAGTACATACTAGAGACAACATGACAGATATAGATAATATATTTCAAACGAACGAAAGAAGAACTTCCGTATGTGCTAAAACTAAAGGCTGTATATTTAAGGGTAAGGAAATACCTCTGTAATCTTTGAAAATAATTATACCAAAAGCTAAAATTAATGAAAACTTAGGCCTAGTAATTAGATATTTTTTAAAAATATTCTGTTGAACCCTCCGGTTTATAAATTGGGATAATTATTATTTACTGAGTTCTCAGAGCATATATTTGCTATTTTAAATTTATATATCATGTCTTTGTGTATATGACTAAAATGTAATTTGTATTGTTTAACATTTTGCTTTGATTTGAGATGTGATTATGATAGAAATTGTACTATGAATAATTAGACAACCTTACTAACACTGTGTCATTAGCATAGTGGATATATTATTTCATTAGTTTGCAATCATTGATTATTCTCCTTATTTTCCTTTATTATCTTTAGGGGAAACTTCGTAATAGTTGTCATGGGCTTTGTTTACTCTTCTGTCTATGAATTTTAGTTCTAGTAATAAACGGTTTGACCTTGCCACGCAGCTCTGGGGATGTTTATGCACAGCACGTTTTCCATCGTCATAGACAGTTTACTTCTTCTTCTTCTGCGTTCGACATCAGTCATGCTAAACATTGAGTCTGGGTCACAAATAGGATTGTGCGTTTAAGGTCGCCACCGGTCCCCCATAGCTTCTCTTTCAATGTGGCTCCCTTGGGCCAGATCCACAGTCTTTGCTGGGAGAGGTAAGGGCAGTACTGTAGTATGTGCCCAAGGGTCTGTCTTTCTGCTCCACAATCACAGGCAGCAGATACTTTTATGCATATCCTGTACAGGTGTGCTCGAAGACCACAGTGTCCAGTCCGAAGTCTAAAAATTGATGTTTGTTCTTTCCTGTTGAGTTTGTTTATGCTGTCAGTCTCTTGTCTGTAATCTCCATTCTGCCTTCTCCACTACCGCTTGAAAGACTGTTTTAGCGCTGTTTTGGTTTCCTTGTAGCTGTGTGGTTGATGAGGTTGTGGAAGATTACTCCCAGCTTTTGCCAACTCATCTTCTCTCTCATTTCCTTGAATACTACAGTGGGCTTAACTCAGTTTACTGAGTTAACGAAGACAAGCAACGGCTATAGGAAGGACATAATAAAGCCATTGTAAGGGCACGGTGTTAACAGTGCTGGTTTCAGGTGTAACCCAAATAAGTTATATTTCTGGGGCCTTACAGTCTGCAGCAGCATAACAACTTAATTTGCTCTACAAATATAATTTTCTCGCAAATTTTATAATTTATTATTTGTTTTGTACTAACCACCGATGAAATGAGAATTTTAGAATGGCTGTGAATAAAACCAGAAGCGATTGAATGAAAAACGACGTGATCACAAGAACTGTTGGAACAGCACCCATCGTCAAATTTATTGAGAAACAAAGAATGGAATGGTTTGGCCATCTAATGAGAATGATACCAACGATGCCAGCAGAAAGAGCTTGCAACCTGAAAATCGAAACACCAAGAGGCAGAGGAAGACCGAGAGAATATGGATTGAAGGAGTCACTGACACATTGAGACTACGGCATAAGCAGATATTGATACAAAATAAGAAGATTATTTGTTTCGTGGGTATAATATTCCAGTCTTTCATTCATTTTAACTTTGTGTAACCTATTATATGAGTGATGTGAGTCGTGGGGTATCTCTCAGTCCTTAAGAAAGAGAATGAGAGGAGTGGGGGGGGGGGGGGGGGGCTTTTAAGCTGAAATGCTATAGAAAGATTTTCAGAATATCCTGGACAAAGAAGAGGAGAAATATTGACATCTTGAAAGATCTGGACAAGGAAGATTGGCTAATAAACAAGATCCTGTCTCGGAAGCTGAAATATTTTGGTCATATCAAGCGTCACGACGGATTGGAAAAAAATTATAGCAGAAGTCATGGTACCAGGAAGAAGGGGCAGGGGCCGACCGACACGAAGATGGGCACAGGATATAAGTGACTCCTCGGGTATGAAAGTACATGAGGTGTGAGAACTGGCAAACGACCGAGTTTCTTTCAGGCAGACTGTGATGAGAGCTATGTTCTGCAAAGGACCTGCTACATAATGATGATGACGAATCTATTATATATTACAATTCCTCAGCGTGGAACGCAATAAACTTTTTATTTTATTTTAATGCCCCACCCCGGCTATCGTCGGGGGGATGAAAAGGGGGAGGGGGTGGGGTGCTAATATAACATAACGGTTAAACGGGGTTTCTGGGACTTCTGCCCAGGGGATTCTCATCCCATTGAATGGTGTCACTTTGTGTCAGCGGGTGTTTATGGCTCGTTATGCGGTCCTGCGGTTGAACGTCAGTCACTCACTCAGTCTTTTATTCATTTTAGCTGTGTGTAGCCGGTAAAAAAAAAATAATTAGCTTGTTATTATCAGTTTTATTTGGAAATCGGGGTTGGGGGGGGGGGGGAGGGAAGGGGGGGGGGGGGTGTTTTAAGTCGGAACTTGCAGCCTTTCAGGGAATTATAAAAAAAATAATTTTTTTAAACACTCTATTAATTTTTTTAATACAAATTAAACGACGATTTATTTCCATTATCCGTAAATTTAAGAGTGTATATATATATATTTTAAAGTTTTCTCAGATTAGCTGGTGTAATTAAAGTAGTATGCGCCTCTAGGCTTTATATAATTCAGGGCCATAAAAGCTCCTATCGAGAATACTGCCGCCCGCATCTTCTGCTTGTTGAAGCACTTGATGGCAAGCATGGTCGAACAGCTTGTGTCTCCTCGCTTTGAATTCTAGTTCACATGGCTGGTTACGAAACTAAAACCGCTAGGCTTTGTTGTGTACAGCTCTGTTTGTTGTAAAGTACGACTGTCTGTCTGATCAAATTGTCTATCTTTTTTTTTTCTATGTGTACTAGAACTTATCTATCTGTATAACCATTAAGGCTCGCGTTAGCGCAATCGATAGGAGACTCGCTCAGTTTTTTTTCTTATCAGCTGTCCGTACTGGTGGCAGAGCACTTATGGTTTATAACCGTGTGCAATGACGCTGGTTCACATCTCCCGACTTTATCTTATGTATTAATTATGTAAGAATACGTTTTTTTTTTTAATTTTTGATTTAATCCAAACACTTGGAATCCTATAGACCCCGGAAAGTCCAATTTTATAGGGTTGTTACGGTATGGAATAGAAATTAAAAGCGACTAACCCTAACACCCCTAATAACTAATAATATTGAACATTCCGGGAAACTCCGAGATTCTGAGTGTTTAGGGTTAATGAAAAATAAAGAACCTTTCAATATTCATGTATAAAACAGTCTTTTACTTTATATGAATTCCTAATTTGCCCCATAATAAAGTACCCCAGTGTTTTCACATCCATGTTTTTTTTTCACAGCCAGAAGCCGGCCGTTTTCTGGCCTTCGACCATGTCACATTTTGGGTGGGGAACGCCAAGCAGGTAATTGTTTTAACTTATTGCACTCAGTATTATTTCAAATATAGCCCTATCTCGTCGGCTTAGAGATTTCATAGGACATTTCTAGAGATTTCCCTGGGCAGTACTATGTGATGGAAAGATGGGGGGGGGGGGGGGGGGGGGGGGGGGGGGGGGGGGGGGCAGGGTTAAGGCTAGTGTTCAATAAATAGCGACTACCATTAAGCCTAACCCTCATATACTATGAAACATTCTAGGGATTTCCCTAAGATATCTAGAAGCCAGCTGGGAGAGGTCGTCAAAAATTAAAGTACCCAGATTTACTGTTACATGAGGAGGGGGGGGGGGGGTGGTGCTGTTAAATGAGGCTTGGACCCAGGGCTGTGTTGGGAAACAGTGAGACCGCTGCATCTGGAGCACGCTAAAGGAAATAATTGGGGTGGGGGGGGGGGGGGGTGAAAATACAGTTTCAACTTTTGAACTGACATCACGAGAATAGTAGAGGCGGCATTTGGAAGACTTGCATCATACTGAGATAATCTACTGCAGGGGACTGTTGTTGGACCCATTGTGAAGTTAAATGTTCCTTTATACGCCAGTGGCGATCAGGTATATGAGGATAGACTCATTTTTTTTAGACAATTCAGCCCTGGGTTGTTGATGTCGTCAGTTTCAGGCTGGCCGTCTTTACTTCCCTGGACTTTACCTGGTACCCATTTAAGGCTGGGTAGACGTGGGAGCCAAGGGGGGTAATTAAAAAATAATCCGATTCTTTTAGGATTTGAACCCACAACCTTAGGTTCTGCAGTTGAGCGTCTAGCCACTGCACCATGGTGGCTTCCCGAAGACGTCGCGGATAGGAATAATATGTGATCCATTGCACATTGGCCGGTAGTGGTTATTGTCTTGGATGGAGTTCCAAAAATGTGTGTTAAATCTAACAGTACATCTTGATTGGATTTCTTTGTATGCCTTGAAGTGTAAGCGGTGATGCTATACTCAAATTTTTATATGGTTTAAGCAATAAAAAGGGTTCTTTTGGCACAACAGAATTATTAATTTGGAGCTTTGAGAGACTGCAAAAATTCCATTGAGGCGGGAGGTGACGACAAGATGCTGGCACTGAATAGGACATTAAATAGGGGTGTTTCCTTCTAAGTCTGCCTGAGAGGCAAGGAACCAGTAAATAGGCCGTATTTGTAAAACAGACGTGCAAGCAAAACTCCGGTTCTGGAACAGGACCAAAGTCCAGAGGTTGACGAACATAACTTTTTACCAGAGTTTATAACAGGTAAACACTGAAGAGGTGGAAGAGGAGAAGATCATTATTACATTTCTCATTGTTTCCTGTCTGTTTATTTTCCAGGCAGCTTCCTACTACTGCACCAGGCTAGGGTTCGAGCCCTTCATGTACAAAGGCCTAGAGACAGGGAGCAGACAGGTTGCAGCTCATGTCGTCAAGCAAAATAAGGTTAGAAGCCATACTGGCTGTTTACTGTGTATCACGTGACTGTTTACTATGTATCACATGACTGTGGTGATATTGTCTCCTCTGTGTCTGGTTTCTAGGGATTTGTTCTTATTGAAGACATGATTGACACTGTAAGTAGACACAGGTGGTATGAGAAGATGATATCTCAGAAGTATACTATGTTACAATTTCACATACCAACATACCGTTTGTCCAGTCAGTGTCCACTACGAACTAGCAAATCCAGCATTATAATATGACATTGTTCAGACATCAACTTGGAGTATTCTCTTATTCGCACTCAGTACCTCTCAGTCCTCTTTCCTCACATTCAGAATACACGCCATGGTTGCTCTGGCAGTTTTTAGCATGGTGGTTCAACTTTGTGAGCAATCGGAAACTGGTTGGATGCCACTTTGGATCAGATCGTCATCAGGCTGTCATCCTGTTGTCTTCTCTCAGAACAGAACTCTTTACGTCGCCAAATACACTGTTACATTCATGCTGAATCTCGGATACACCCTTTGGCTCTGGCTGGCAGACACAGACTGTCTGACTAGACCTTTGTCTAATCTTATAACCTTGTGCTGAGTTCCATGTGGCTTTACGTGTTTGTCTTCCTTGCTCAAGTACCTCGTGTTTCTACGAGTACTTGCGTTATCCCATTTTCTGTCATATCTTGAGGTTTCCCCCTCACATTATTCCCCAGGGAAACCCCGTGTGAACATAGCAGCATTACAACTGTTTACTGTGAATCACATGACAGGACTGTTTATTGTCTATGACATGACTGTTTACTGTGTACCACATACCAAATCGCTGTGTGTCACATGACTGTTTACTGTGTATCACATGACTGTTTACTGTGTATTAGATGACTATTTACTGTGTATTACATGACTGTTCATACTGTGTATCATGTGGCTGTTTACTGTATATCATGTCTGTTATTGTGTATCACATGACTGTTCACTGTGTATCACATGACTGTTTACTGTGTATTAGATGACTATTTACTGTGTATTACATGACTGTTCATACTGTGTATCATGTGGCTGTTTACTGTATATCATGTCGGTTATTGTGTATCACATGACTGTTCACTGTGTATCACATGACTGTTTACTGTGTATTACATGACTATTTACTGTCTAATACATGACTGTTCATACTGTGTATCATGTGGCTGTTTACTGTGTGTCTGTTATTGTGTATCACATGACTGTTCACTGTGTATCACATGACTGTTTACTGTGTATTAGATGACTATTTACTGTGTATTACATGACTGTTCATACTGTGTATCATGTGGCTGTTTACTGTATATCATGTCTGTTATTGTGTATCACATGACTGTTCACTGTGTATCACATGACTGTTTACTGTGTATTACATGACTATTTACTGTCTAATACATGACTGTTCATACTGTGTATCATGTGGCTGTTTACTGTGTGTCTGTTATTGTGTATCACATGACTGTTTACTGTGTGTCACATGACTGCTTACTGTGTGTCACATGACTGTTTACTGTGTGTCACATGCCTGTTTACTGTGTGTCACATGCCTGTTTACTGTGTGTCACATGACTGTTTACTGTGTGTCACATGCCTGTTTACTGTGTGTCACATGACTGTTTACTGTGTGTCACATGACTATTTACTGTGGTAATACACCTCTATACCAGCTGACTCACACCTTCCTCGCCAAATACGGCTACAGAGGAAGGACCCTCTTCCTATGCTGTTTACTAACAGTCTATCGCCACAGATGGCTCATCCAGCATCAGTGTCCTTTGCACACATCTTGTTGATTCAGCCATTCTGTGATAACACCATCGTAGTCCCCTTTTGAACAGTGCTGAGGCACAAATATATCATAATGGTCTGAGGTGAATAGTGCTGCAAGGAGTTTTTAGGTTTCGGTTGTAAACAACGGATCAACATCGTGTCAAAAGGTGTAACCCATAAGTGCTTCATTCTACTTCTGACTCAAGCCTGAGTCCGGAGAATCTCAGTGCAGGGCATGAACTCCGTAGCACCGGCGAGGATCCCAAAATGGAGTGAGCAGGGCATCTGGCTGATGCTAAGCACAAAAGGATTGTTGAGTTAGCTACAGGAAGCAATTATTAGGTATTATTATTAGGTAATGCTTACGTCACAATTAAAAAGTGACTGTTTTACCCTTAATAATATGTTTCTAAAACGTTGCACACTAAAATGTTGCAAGGAGCGAGTGGAAGACCTTGGAGGAGATGGAGTGGTTGCATTAAGAACAGCCTTACAGAAATGATCATCAGTCCTAATAGTGCTCTTGACAGAGCTCATCAGCAAATGTGACATCCCCCCACTTCGGGGGTGGAAGAGAAGAAGAAGAAGGTTTATTTTTATTTTGGGCTGGACTGGGAAAAGGGGGGGGGGGTGGGGGGTTAGATATATTCTTACCTATCCATGTCTACACACTATGCAGTAGCAAAACTGTTATATAGACCTGGTGACCACTGCCCAAAGACATAAAAAACCCATACATGTCAGAAAAAGGACTTTCATGAGGCGACTGGGTTAAGAAATCTGCAATTGCTGCCTGTATTTATCATTTTTTTTAAAGGGCATTTTATGAAATGAAGAACATCTTATGCAATATATATCTGTCATTGATGGTTAGAAAAAGAATTCTTGCTTGCTACATACATCCGGTTTTAACATATGGTTGTGAGTCCTGTACAATCGGTAGGCATGCCAAACAATTTCTTGAAGCCTCAGAGATGTGGTTTAACAGAAGAATGCTTAAAATGTCTTTGACAGTCAAAAAGAGCAACCAAGAGGTTTTGAAAGAGGCGTTAGCTCCAAAACAACTAATCACAGACATCAGAAGGAGACAGTCATTATTTTTCGGTCATGTTATGAGAAGAGGGAAAATGTAACATGTTGTGACCACTGGAAAGATCTGTGGAAGGAGGGATAGAGGAAGACAACGAGAGAAGATTCTTGACAGTCTTGTTGCATGGCATGGAGGTGTGTCTGCACACAAACTAATACATGCTGCATCAGATCGCAGATTGTGGAGAGGCATGATTGCCCACGCCAGTCGGCAAGGCACCTGATGATGATGAGGGCAGGGAGGTGGGATGGTTTGGGTCTGGTGATTTAATATTTAGAAGATTTGCAAGAAATAAAATTATTCATGTTTTAATGAGGTGATGAATTAACATTTGTATTTCCCTTTGTTCGTTCTGGGACAGATTATTTATGTCTTCCAGTCCATGCTGGAGCCAGACAAGCCAGTGGGTATGTACATACGCGTGAATGTTCATGAACTTGCTGGCTACATATGTGGATATCTCATTCATTTTATGGCTACATACATAGCTATTTCATTCAGTTTTTGGCTACATACATAGCTATTTCATTCAGTTTTTGGCTATATACATAGCTATTTCATTCAGTTTTTGGCTACATACATAGCTATTTCATTCAGTTTTTGGCTACATACATAGCTATTTCATTCAGTTTTTTGGCTATATACATAGCTATTTCATTCAGTTTTTTGGCTACATACATAGCTATTTCATTCAGTTTTTTGGCTATATACATAGCTATTTCATTCAGTTTTTTGGCTATATCCATCAGCACAAACTGAATGTTTTGACCAAAGCCTTTATCAATAGAGTACTAAATAACAGCACAAACTGTGACTGGAAAACTCAACAGACAAAACAACAAAGCTAATTTTTAAAAAAAAACCACAATCAAACCAAGGTCAGCATGAAACCAAAGAATGTCCACTGTGCTTTCCAGTCATATCTTATGTTATATTAAGATTTCGTGCAGTCAACTTGACTGCAGTCACCCCTTATTTACGTCATCTCCTTAGGACATATCCTGGGGCAGTGTTTTTATACCATGTGTTGCTCCTCTTTCAGTCTGCTTTGTTAACTCTAGAGGAAAGGTAACACTAATACACTTGCAAAAAAAGCATACTACAGAAGCTGATGGATCAGAAGAGCAGTGCTCTATCTGTCTGCCTATTGGAGCTTCCTTCTGAGACCAGTAGTCTTCAGTGCCTGATCTGCTCTGCTCTGCCATAACACTGTTTTCAGGTTGCATTTCCCCATCATAGAATAAGGCTACTTGGTGGTGAATTGATGTATATATGACAAGCTAGGTGTTGTGAGGGCTCTTTGGGAGCGAGTGAATAGTGCAGAGGCACAGATAGATCATAACAGTGTGAGGAGAGGGGCGTTGCCAGGAGTTACCAGGGGATCTGGCACAGGCTGAACCCTCAGGGAAGGGTGAGACAGATATACAGTCTGATAGTTATACTGGTGCCATCGGAATTGGAACTCTTCGCTTGCTGATAAAAATTGGGAGGGAACCCTTTTGTGAGTGTCCCGAGTGCTTTGATATCGATTCTTAATTCAACGTTCAGCATTCAACAGGGAACAGGCACTACGCACGACTGTTATATGACATAGCCCTCAGACATAGCTCAAGATGAGATTGTGTCACCACAACTGCATTTTAAAGACAAATATTACAAAAAGCAGTGACAAATAAACATCCCCATGTAGACTCTGGAACCCCGCATTGAGGAGTGGGGAGAAGAATATACTTACTCGCTAACAGTTGACTTTTTAGAGGTGTTTCTTTCCATGTCGAAGTGTATCTTCCTGAGAGGTAAGGAACCAGCAGTCTGTATACAAATAGGCAGATATGTAAAACAGATGTGCATGCAAAACTTCGGTTTTTGAACAAGACCAAAATCCAGAAGTGGACAAACAACCATACTGAGAAAACAGCTGTCTAAAACCAAAAACTTGGTTAAACACAGGAGCTATGAAATGGAATCATGTTTATAAAGTATTTCATTTTGGGAACTTATCTTTTGTTAGACATATTTTATAGAACTATTTTTTTTTCCTATTTCAGAAATGGCTAAACACTTGACAAAACATGGGGATGGTGTCAAGGATGTGGCCTTTGAAGTTGAAGATTTGGATGCCATTGTCAAGGTCAGTTGTTTAAATGTCTGTGACTGGTCCATTACATATGTAATCAAAGATGACTGGTCTTCTCCTCCTCCTCTTCCTCCTCCTCCTCCTCCTTCATCTTCTTCTTCTCCTCCTCCTTCTTTTTTTTCTTTTTCTTCTTCTTCTTCTTCTTCTTCTTCTTCTTCTTCTTCTTCTTCTTCTTCTTCTTCTTCTTCTTCTTCTTCTTCTTCTTCTTCTTCTTCTTCTTCTCCTCCTCCTCCTCCTCCTCCTCATCCTCCTTCATCTTCTCTTCTCCTCCTTCTTCATCTTCTTGATCTCCTCCTTCTTCTTTTTCTTCTTCTTCTTCTTCTTCTTCTTTTTCTTCTTCTTCTTCTTCTTCTTCTTCTTCTTCTTCTTCTTCTTCTTCTTCTTCTTCTTCTTCTTCTTCTTCTTCTTCTTCTTCTTCTTCTTCTTCTTCTTCTCCTCCTCCTTCTCCTCATCCTCCTTCATCTTCTCTTCTCCTCCTTCTTCATCTTCTTGTTCTCCTCCTCCTTCTTCTTCATCTCCTTCTCCAACTTCTTCTCCTCCTGGTCCTTCTTATTCTTCTTCTCCTTCTTTTTTCCTTCTCCTCCCCCTCTTCTCTCCCCCTCCCCTCTTCTTTTTCTTCAAATGGCAGTTGAAATAATCACATGAAAATAAAATTCAAGATAGGCTTATCAGCCATGTGCACATGTGGAAAAGTGCTTCATACAGCAGAACATGTACTTCAGGGAAACCTTTTGGCCAGAAAGAACAACAGTGGAACGTAAACTCTATGGATCACTAAATAAACTAGAAACGACAGTGACATTTATGTGAGACAAAGTTACTGATAGAGACAACTTATTTCAGGCGAACGAAAGAAGAATAATCATTATTCTCAGCCGTGACTAAAGTTAACTTTCTTTGAATTTTTTTTTTTTTTAAACAGAAAGCCAGATCTCGTGGGGCCACTGTTGTCAAGGACATCTGGAAAGAGACTGATGAGCATGGCACAGTACGAATGGCAATCGTTCAGACATACGGAGACACCACTCACACACTAATTGACCGATCCAACTACAAAGGTCCATTTTTACCCGGCTACAAGAAAGATAGCCACACTGACGTCTTGCTTAAGACATTGTAAGTCTGTCTCTACTTAATGTCAATACCATCATCATCATGAGGCATGTTTTGATGGCAAAGTAGTCATGTCTCGCCAGATGTGCACACAAAGTTAAAATTCTGGGAGAAAGCCCAAGTCCAGAGGTGGATGTACTACTAGAACTTTCCACCAGAGTTTACTGCCAATGAATGCGAAGCAGAAGAAGAGGACTGCTCTCATATGTCTCCATAAGTGCTCTAGACCTCATGGAAAATCTGAGCTCAGCGCATGAATTCCGCAGCATCAGTGAAAATCAACATTATTCTGTTTACTGCCACTGATTTTGAAGATTTCATAATTTCTTTGTCTTTTATTGATGTTTGTTTGTTTGTTTGTTTTGATCCTACATGATCTGAACATTGAAGAGAACTGGCTCATAAACAGCATCCTGCCCAGAAAATGGAGGTATTTTGGCATTTTAATTGTCGTGGTGGCCTAGGGTGAATGGTGATGGAGGGTACAGTGTCCATGAACTGATGCAGAGGCAGACCTCTGTAGTTGTGGATACACGACATTGAAAATGCACTGGCTGTGAAAGCACATAGGGCTGGAGATTTGGCTGGAGAAAGAAAGGCTTTCAGGTGTTCCGTGGGGAGAGCGGCGATTTGTACAGGATCTGCTGATTGATTTCTTGTTTTGTTGATCATTCCAAATGGTTAGTGATTACCAAGACAGACGAGGAAAGAATGTTGACTTAAGATTCGATATCACTGCACTCGGGACACTCCCATAAGCTCTCTGTCCCCATCTTCAACAGCAAGTGAAAAGCTGCAATTCTGATGGTACCAGTAACTGTCTGTACCACTGTCTTGCCTTTCCCTTGAGTGTTAAGCATCGACCAGCTCCCCACAGCGCCATTCTCCTCAGACCGTAATGATCTGTCCGCGCTTCCGCACTGTTCACTCGCTCCCAAAGGGCCCTCACAACTTCTAGCTTGTAATACATCAATTCACTACCAGGTGGTGCAGAACCGGCCAGTCTATCTGCCTGCTCATTTTTCAACACGCATTTCCCAACATACATTACTTGGAGAAAAAATCCGAAGGACGCTAACTACAGGGACCTCTGATGTGATTCCTGCAGACGAGGAAAGAAAATATAGTAACAGTGTAAGCTTCCATGCATGTCATAAAACGCAACAGCAAGGCTTGGGTTGGGTGTTAGTTAATTGATGGTTTACGCTCTATTGTGAGTTTAAATGCAGAAGAAGAATGACAGCAGATGAGAATGTTAATCCAGTTGTCATTGTCAGCACTGTCCTCTTTTGCCATTACATGTCACACGGTCCTCGTAGTCTGTTTCTCCATTCAATTCTTCCGTGTGCAATCAGTACAATATCGGAATGGAATTCAGTCTAGCACCTTTGACCTCTCTCAACGTTTGTTTGTTTAAGGGGTTTCTTTTAGGTGTACTCACCTCTTTAATCCCTTTTTTTCCCATTTTATTGACAGAAGAAGAAAATAATAAATCCATCTGAAAGCCACCAAAACTGGCACAAGACGATTATCATATTATGGACAGACCAGAGCAGGTCATGATTCTCCACCTTAGAAAGGACACAGTCGAATTCGCAGCCACATGTGCACAAAACTTAAAATCGGCTAAACAGCCATGTGCACATGTGGACTAGCACCTGAGAGAACAGATCATGTCCTCCAAGACTGTCCCAAATACAACAGATCAAAGCAAAACTTTTGGCCAAGAGAAACTTCGGTGCAAGTCAAACTTTACGGGTCGCTAAGTGAATTACAACAGACAGCGAAGTTCATACTAGAGACAACATTGCAGATATAAATAATCTATTTTAACGAACGAAAGCAGAAAAAAAAATATCTGTTTTATTGCCTGTTTGGTGATTGTACTGGTTTCTTCTCAGGATGTGTCCACTATAACATCTTCTCCGTCTTATAACTGTTGATACTCGTTGTTTCCCAGCCATTTCTCTTATTTTTACCCTTCTTAAGTTCTTACTAGGTTTGATATTTTATTTCTTCTAGGCCAGCAACAGGACTTTTGCACATTGACCATATTGTGGGGAATCAGCCTGACTTAGCAATGAATGATGTCGTCGACTGGTAAGCTTTTATTATCATCATCAACACTTTTCACTTTTGCTGTGAAACGGCGTGGGGAGGAACAGTGTGCGATCCATTGCTTCATGGGTAGCATGTCGTACCATGTTGATATAAATGCTCTTTAATGTTTGTATTCTCCTAGGGTGACCTCTTGCTTTCACTTTGTGCTTGTGCTGGTTGTTATGACTGCATTATAACGAGATGACCAAACCATTTGAGTTTCTGTTTCTCATTGAATTTGACAGATGGTGTTGTTTCCACATTGTTATTTCTAACTGTTTTTTTTTGGGTAGCTGAGTTGACGGCTTTCTTCAGGCATCTCATTCCATGGGTGTTAACTAATTTTATATAGTTTAGGGTTTGAAGGTTACGAAGTTTGAAGTGTTATCAAGAAGCTTATATTCTTTATTGTCTCCTTCTCCTCTCTTCATTCTTCTTCATCTGCTACTTATCATCTCCCACTGAGAGATTAAGAGGGGAGAAAACAGAGAATCTGAACTGTTTTCAGCATGTAGATGAAAATACAACATTCATATAAATAAACAGAGGGGGAACCTTTGAGGCCGTTAAGCATCCCTTATGAATTAATCAAGCACCTCCTGGGTGCCTAGTTGACCATGTTCTTAGTGCACTTGTATTCATGGTGAGGCGCACACGCCGTCTGGAGGTGACAGGTTCAATTCCCGGGACGGTAACTATAGCTTTCGATTTTTATGTTGTGTAGTGTGTTCTTCTATCTTTCTACTTCTTTCTATGAGTGCCGATCAATACACTTTCTGTTACTTGATTAATTCATAATATGAAAATACAGGCAGACTTTTAATCAGGTTACAACTAACAAAAGCAGTATGGAAACTCTTTGTTGGTTACCTAGGAAGGTGACAAAGTCGGGGATGCTGTGAGTTCAGTGACGTCAGTTCTTTACTTATTCATTCATTCCTCCATTCATTCACTCATTGGCTCATTCATTTATTAATTCATTCATTGCTGTTGATTGGGTGAATTTTTCTAATCCTTTGTAGACTTGCTATTTATTGACTGAATTTTCCTTCTTCTTCTTCACTTCCTCTTTTACCGCTGTGGGCGTCGAGGGAGATATAAGGTTCTGTTTCTAGCTCTTCTGGCTGCCTCTAATTTTCCTAGTCTTTGCAAACTTGCTATTTATTGGTTGAATTTCTCTAGTCCTTTGCAAACTTGCTATTTATTGGTTGAATTTCTCTTGTCCTTGGCAGACCTGCTGAAGTCTGCTGAAGTTTTCTATGAGAGGAGGGAGCCAGTCTCACAACACATTCCTTAGTTGCAACATAACAGTGTTACTATGCTGTGCTTCCCTATAGACCTGGGTGAAGCTTAAATTCTTCTTCTTCTTTGTGTTAACTGGCTGTAAACTCCTGCAGAAAGTTCTGGTTGTTCACCCACCTCTTGACTTTAGACTCACCCCAGAAGTGTTGCGTGACTGATTTGTATGTAGACTGTTGGTTCTTGCCTCTCGGGCAGATGCACTCCGACTTCGAAGGAAACCCCCAGTTAGTTGACTCTTACGACATGCTTGTTAGGGAGGCAGTGGGTCTGTTCTTGTTTTCCCACAATGTGGCCCTGGAACCCACAGGAGTAGAAGCTTATATTAGCTTGATCCAAACAAAAATGACAAGGCAGTGAAATAACACATCATCAGTTGTCTCACAGACTGGCATGGGAGATCATCTCTTCACAATCGACCATCTTCAGCAGCAGGTATCTATTTGTCTGCTGACACCCCTCTGTGCTATGACAAAAGACTATCAAGAATGTGCTCGCGTTATCTTCCTCTGTTTCTTTTCCCACAGATTTTTCTAGTGGTCAAAAAGTGTAACAAATAAAGAAACTCAAATATTGTACCTCCATATCCCCATGCTGATTCCAGAGCACTTAGCAAGCATGGCGTAAACAGCGACTATTTAAGGGTTTGCTGCCATAGTTGCTGCAGTGCGTAGCTTTTCTCCTAGAAATAAAAAGGTTGTGGGTGCTCACTATAGTGTGTCTAATAAGGTGCTGGTACTCATCAGAAAGTTTTTAAAACAAAAAAAAGTAATTGTAGTAAGCACTGAAAAACGAAGCCTGAAAAAAGTACTGCGTACTGTTGGGTACTGTCCAAAAACAAACAGCCTTGCTGAGGGGCTAAGATATCACAGCCTAGTATCCAAAAGCCATGAGCTGTTAACCCTTAGGCTTGGTATTATGGATATCGCAACCCTTCGGCCTTGATTCCATGATAAATACTGTAAATCTGGAAGAAATGTGGCTTTTCTGCCTACCCCCGGGCGTGAACCCAGACCACAAGGAGTTCGTCACCCAGTCACTGCGCAGTCCGGTTTAGCCAACTACGCTAGCGAGCCGGGCAGCTGTAAACTTAAAGACAGTGTGCCATTTGTCCTGTTGGGGCAGGGAGAAGAACGGGTCTAAGTGGCGAAGTTGTCACGCCATTTGCCTCGCGCTGAAGGTCAAGAGTTCATTTCAAGGCTGCATCGTTTGGTTTATGAGTGCAGTTTTTTGGGGAGACCCCCAGGGATAGTCACCAGAGCTATGGTATTCGTTCTTTGTGTGATTCTCTCGGCAGGCAGCTAGAGACTGAACCATACAGGATAACACACAGTGCAATGAAGTCGTCCTCTCAATTTTAACCTATTTAACTTTGTTATATTAAATACACACAAAAACAGATACCTCCAGAGGACAGTTTGTCAGTCTGTATTTGTTGTAGTTGTTTTTTGTTGTACTTGTTTCTTGTTGTAGCTTTTCCTTGTTGTTGATCTTTGTTGGTTGAGGGCTTATACTTCACTGAGATATGAAAGACAGCAGAAGATGATCATTGTGTTTTATTTTTTTAAATCTGGTAATCTGGTAATCTGGTAATCCATAGCAAACGGGTCACCCCATTGTTGCTCCGCTCCTGTGCCAACGAAAAACACTCGTAGCTCACAGTGTCACACCATGCACTCAACTCAGAAGCTGGGTGACGAAACTATATCCTTCCAGTCTACAAATGGAGCAAAAATGCAACGGCCACCGCCTGGCAGAACTGCCACGGCTTAAAAAAAAAAAAAAAAAGTGGTCGTGCCTAGTGTCCACTGTGACTTGAAGCATTATGTGAGGGGTTATTTTTTTAAAGCATTCACCAGACTTAAACTCTGGTAGAAAGTTTTGGCTATTCATCCATTTCTTGTCTTGCTCTGGTTCCAAAACTTCAGTTTTATGTGCATATTTGTTTTACAGATCTGGCTTATTTGTATGCAGACAGTTGGTTCCTCACCTTTTAGGCAGATGCTTTCTGACTTTGAAGAAGACTTCCCTAATTAGGAGCCTTGTACAACACGTTTTTTAGAGAGACAGTGGGTCTATTATTTTTTCCCATGCAAAAAAGTAGCCTTGGAATCCACAAGTGAAGTGAGCGTTTGAAATCTTCTTTTTCGTGTTCACCGGCTGTAAGCTGCGGGGGAAAGTTCTGGTTGTTCGTCCACGTGTAAACTCTGCTCCTGTTCCACAACCTGAGTGTTGCATGTACATCTGTTTCATAGGTCTCACTCATTTGCATGCAGACTGTTGGTTCCTTGCCTCTCAGGCAGATGTACTCCGACTTTGAAGGAAGCTCCCAGTTAGTCGACTTTTACGACATGCTTTTGGGCAGGCAGTGGGCCTACTCTTGTTTTCCCCTCAATTGGGACCTGGAACCCACAGGGGAAGTGTTTGAAATGTCCTGCACAGATTTTTTAAATATCAATTATGTTTTTTGTTTCTGTGCTAGTGGCTTAGGCGTTGCTAGTACGACTCGTAATTCCAACTTACCGCGATCGACACCCACTGCTGGCTGCGTGGATTTTTATCATGCTATGGGACGATGCAGGTTAGCCCAGTCTAAAATGGGTACCAGGATGTGTGTCCTGTGGAAGTGAAGATGGCTGGCACATTGCTGACCACATTGCCCACCTACTGCCGATTGGTCTTTAAAATATGGGTGCTCTTCCCATATGCCCAATGTGTCTAAAGGCGTAAAAAGGGATCTTTACTTTTACTGTATGTTTCATTTCAGGTATGAAAGGAACCTGATGTTCCACCGGTTCTGGTCTGTTGATGACAAGCAGCTGAACACAGAGTTCTCCGCTCTTCGCTCCATTGTCATAACCAACTATGAGGAAACAATTAAAATGCCAATTAACGAACCTGCCCCTGGAAAAAGAAAAAGTCAAATACAGGTTTATATTTTCATTACTGCAAACAATATTTTGCTTAAATTACATATGCTCACTTTTAAGCAATTTTTGTTTTTGTATGGGAAGATATTTTCTAACTCTTGAGGTCCATGCTGCTTTAACTGTAACCTTTTCGTCCAGAGAAACTGCGAAACTGACACTTCTGGTTGGGCGCAATTCCTGACAAATGTAATTTGTCCTGCTTGTTGAATGATGAATTAAGAATCAACATCATAGCACTCGGGACACACCCATAAGCCCTTCACCCCTAACTTCAGCAGAAAGCAAAGAGTTCCAGTTCCGAGTGCACCAGTAACTGTCTGACTGTACATCTATTCCGTATTTCTCTTGAGTGTTGAGTGACAGCCAGATCCCCTGGTAACTCCCCGCAGCGCCCCCACAACATCTAGCTTGTCAGATACCAGTTTACCACCAAGTGGCGCAGAACCGGCAAGTCTGTCTGCCTGCTCATTTCCCAACACACCAGCATGACCTGGAGAAAATATCCAAAGGACGCTAACTTCCCGGGACCTCTGAAGCGATGCTTGCCACTCTCTACGGAGGATGTCTTGTGTCCACTTTTCTCAGCATGCCCTGTGAGTCAGTTACAATCACGGCATGTGTGTACAGCTGATTCTCAAGCCAGCCGAATGTCAGCAGAGACTGCCTCCACCTCCACTCTCAGACTAGATGTTGTGATATATGTCAGGCTTTGTTGCACTAAGCGACGTCCAAGTGACTTTTCCTACTTGCCTATAGTGACATGTTTATGAGACGCATAGTTAATGCTATTGACTGCATCTGAGTCTGTGCAAAAATTAAGGATGTCACGGTATGACTGCATAAATGAAAAATTGCATTTAAGGGGCTTTTTCTTTTGAGCCAGTAGCTGTTTTTTCAAGCCAAGTTAACTGCAAAATTTTCTGTAACCTCAATGATCGAGGTCATGGGGGTCACGGCATGAGTTACACAAAACGTTTTTTTTTTTTTAGCCCTGGTGAATGTATTTCACTTAATCATTCACCCTATTCATTTTGATTGATTACTCCCTTTGTATATTTTGAGAAACATTAATACATATTTTTTTAACTGCGTTATTGACCAGTGTTTATTAGTTTCTTCTTCTTCTGCCTTTCTATCCCCCAATGGAGCATAGGCCCTCAACCAACTCACGCCAAGTCGTTCTATCCTTCGCCATTGCATGGAGCTCTCCCCATGTCCTCCCAATCTTTCTAACCTCGTTCTCCAGCTCTCTTCTCCATGTGGTTTTTGGCCTTCCTTTATTCCTATGCCCCTGTGGGTTCCAATGCAAAGACATTCTAGTTATGCTGTTCTCCTGTTTTCTCAGCGTGTGCCCTACCCAACGCCAGCGTCTTTTCCTCAACTCCTGATCCACTGGAGCCTGTTTAGTTCTCTCCCAAAGTTCTACATTAGTTATTCTATCATACCATTTTATTCCCTCTATTCTGCGCAGGCACCAGTTAATGAATATCTGTAATTTATTAGTAATTGCCTTGGTTGTTCTCCATGTTTCCGCCCCATACAATAGTACTGATTTGACATTAGAATAAAAAATTTTTAGTTTAGTATTTCTTTTAATTTCTTTTGACCTGTTTATTAGTTTAGAATAAAATAAAAAATTCCAACTGGGGTTTTAAAAAGCGTTCAAAACCATCAAGAAACAAATAAAAAAAAGATTATACTTTACACCCAAAAAATTTTTTTTTTAAATAAGTTTGGCCACCCTCAGCTGCTAGAAATTGACATCAGAATGCTTTGTATTATAGGGTGTGCAGATGTATACACTTCTTAATAGTTTCTTGGATTTGTTCCAGTTGGATGCACATCCTTGAGTATCAGCTTGTGTCAGTCTTTATGCTATAGTCCTGGTGGGGAAAAATTAACAGTCTGTTGACAGTGACATTCTTAACCAATACCTGACATTCTTAACCAAAACCTGAAATTCTTAACCAAAATCTAGGGAGGAAACATTGCTAACTTAAGTTTAATCCTAATTAGTCCTAGAAAAAACATAAATGCAAAATCACAACATCTGAGATGAGATTCTAAGAAATGGGTTTGGGAAAACAAGAAGGGACAAAGAACTAAGATCAGTGGTAGGCACAGTAAACATCAATGAGTTGGTCATCTGGTCAGAATGGGACACAATCAACGAGCAGCTAGGAACAGCAGGTTACAAGGCAAGAGGCTGACCAAGAAACAAATGGGTGGAGAGAGAGTAAAAGAGACACTACAGAAATACACTATGGGATTAACACAAGCTGCACAACTAGCAAAAGACAGGAAACTACATCTAACTCCTTTCTGTGATGCTTTACCACATAAGCAGTAGGACATCAGAGTGTGTACAGGGACCATCTTCAAGACAAGTGACATTTAGAAAGACATTCAGTTGTCCATGTGTGTTCTGGTGCGGACATTTCAAAGCGAGTGTCAAGCAGTTATGAAATTGATTTCATTTTTACTTAAACAAATTTTTTAAATTTCATCATTATAAATAAAATATTTGTAAAACTATATATAAAACAGAAAGCCGCAGACTTTTTTTTTTTGACACCTTGATTTATATGAATTGTTTTCTTATTAACAGTGCTTGAGATTTTTCTTTTTGTTCTCCTTTTAATCTTTGTAAGTTGGAAGGGAAAGGGGGGGGGGGGCATGGGGGTTTGCCATATGTTCACTTAGGGGCACCACCTGAAAAAGGTTGAAAACCACTGTTTTGAACAGGTCCCGCTGAGGTTAGTAGCAACCAAACATCCCAGTCTGTGTGATAAAGTGCTGCCTTGGTGTATTGTTGATACTTACAAGTGACTTTTCTGTATGACCAAACAGGAGTATGTTGACTACTATGGTGGTGCCGGTGTGCAGCACATTGCAATGAGATCTGAGAACATCATAGAGTCGGTAGGTTTGTTTCACAGACAGTCTTTCCAAAGCATTTTTTTCTCAAAATCATAAATTGCTATAAAATATAGATCTTAAATAGCCATAAAATGTACCCTATTTATCTATGCATAAAATATCTTTTCCCAAGTTTTAGTTTAAAATTGGAAGTGGTTTTATACACAAAAAGTTTAAAATATTTATTTCTTAATTTGCTTGACAGTCTTGTTGCATGGCATGGAGGTGTGTCGGCACACGAACTGATACATGCTGCAGGAGATCGCGGATTATGGAGAGGCATGATCGCCCACGCCAGTCGGCAAGGCACCTGATGATGATGATGATTTCTTAATTCTGGAAAAGGGGCAGGGGGATAGAAAGCATCTTCTACACAGATAAAAAATATGGTAGATCTTAAAATATAACTAGTTGTAAGGTGTTCATGTTTGTTAATTCCCCTCAGAACCAAACAGTTCTGCAGCAAATGCTCAAAATAAAAGACAAAAAGGGAAATAACTACTATGCACACTCATGAACACACTGTTTTAAAAATCTAACTGGAGGGAAAAGTTGAAGGCAAGAAGACAATGATACAAGTGGGAGGCCAATATCAAGAGATGGATGAATAAAAGTCTGAACTAGTGTACGACCAAGACAAGAGACAGAGTGTGTTGGAGATCCATTACAGCCAATTTTCGGAGATAACATCTGACTGATTGAATGACAATCATGAGTGCTTTAATTTAAGAGGCTTAACATGCAGTTAAAACAGCCACTGGAGAAACCAGATTTTAAAAAAAAATTCTCTGACCAACTGTAGTTAGTAAGAGCACATATTATTGTGTGGCTAGCATTCACATGCAATGTGTTGGTTTGGACTCAAAGATTAATATAATGTTTACACTGAAATTATTATATCAGAATGTACAGACCAGTATATACAGCTATAAGGAAAAGACGAGCACTGTTCTTTGGTCATGTGGTGTGTGTGTGTGTGGGGGGTGTTAAGAATATTGTGGGAAGATCACCAGCATAAAAGGGAGAGGCAGACTGAGAGAGAGATGATTGTGAAGGTGTTACGGAGGGATATCATCGGTGAAACTGATCCAGAGGACAAGGGACCGAGGATATCTGTGGAAATGCGTGAACGCTTACGTCAGTCAGCAGGGCATGTGATGATGATGATGATCCATTTTACAGATCAGGCAATTTTTGTATGTAGACTGTTAGGTCCTAGCCACTCAGTTGGATGCACTCTTGACTTCATAGGAGACACCCCTAATTAGTAATCTTTCAGGACATGCTTGTTAATGGGGTAGTGGGTTTGTTTAGTTCTCCCTCTCCCCCCCCCTCCCCCACCCCCCCCCCCCCCCCCAACCCCCTTCAAATGATGCTCCAGAACCCACACATTCTCTTAAGGGTGAACATAAAAGAAACAGAAATGGTTTTTTTTTTAAACATTATCCTCCTCTGCTTGAGGATGTAACAGAAGCAAAAGATATTGCAGGTTTGTTTATGTATGTGGCATGTGTACTCAGAAGCTCTATCTATGCCGTGGGATGTTGATAGTCATGTCTGTCCACAGCCTTCTATCTCATGTACTTTTATCAGTTCTGACACAGGTGATCTTCGATGCCAGTCTCCCTCTGCTTTTCTTCCCCTCCAACTTTTCCAGTGTCGTGATGAACTCCAGTTTTCTCCTTCTTACGACATGACAGTAGAATGTAAATTGCCTTCTTCTGATGTGGGCAATCCGTTCTCTTCATGAGTCAGTTTCTTTCAACACATCTTCATTACTCTTCTTATCTTTCAGGGTATTCTGACTATTCGTCTATAAAACCACATTTCCGCAGCTTCTAAATAAGTTTTCACTAATTTACCAACTGTCCATGATTCACGTCTTTATATGAAGATTTATATAGCTTTTGAGAATTCTCTTTCTCGTCTCAGTTGAAAAGAAAAATTGCACAGAATATTCTTCATTTTGTAAAATTTGCGTGAGTTATTTTTCTTTTTCAAATTCACGGGCTGTAAACTACAGGCAGAAAGTTCTGGGTGTTCGTCCACCTTGTGACTTTAATCTTGTTCCAGAATCTGAGTGTTGCACGCACATCCGTTGACACATCTGATTTATTTGTATGCAGTCTCTTGGTTCCTTGCCTCTCAGGCAGAGGTACTCCAACTTCAAAGGATGCCACCAATTAGTGGACTTCTCTGACATTTTCCTGTTGGGGAATCAGTGGGTCTATTCTTGTTTTCCCCGACAATGGGGCCCCAGAACCCACACAGGGGGTCCTGAGTCATCCTACCCCGAACACACCTACAAGTATTTTTTAAGTATTCTTACTGTCTTAACAGATTACAAGTCTGAGAGCTAGGGGACAGCAGTTTTTAGACATCCCACCAACATATTATCGCACACTGAGAGAAAACCTGAAAAACTCTAAGGTATGTTTGATTTTATTGCCACAGAATTGGAAAATTTAGGCTCAGTAGTGAACAACAATGGCGACACTGCGCAAAAGAAAGAGAAATACTCACTTTAGAACAGTTGTTTGTTGAATGAGTGGGTGTCCCCATGTAGGCTGCAATTTTTCGTTATTTGAAGCCCCACTCTGGCTTTTGCCAGGGGCCCTGAATATAGCCAGGCCATGAATGTGGGCATAACGGCTGGAAGGGGTTTCCGGGACCTCTCCACAGGTGATCCTCATCCGCATGGTGACACTTTTTGTCACTTGTGTGATGCCCTGGTGGTATACAACAAGCAAGCAACACTTTAGACATGCAGAGACTAAACATCATGAAGAACCTTTCGCACAGCACCTGCAAGTGAGTTAAAGCAACAAATTTAAGATCATGCATCTTTCCCTTGACAACCTGGGAATGTGATTTATAGACTATTACTTAATCAGTAAAGGAAAAAAAAACTCAGAGCTTATGAACTGAAGTGCTACAGAAAAATTCCTTGAATACCATGGACCAAAAAAGTAAGAAAGTAAAGGACCCTTTTTTCCACGCCTTTCAGGCATATTGGGCATATAGGGCTAAACCTGTATTTTATAGACCAACAGCACAAGATGGGTGATGTGGTCAGCATCACGCTGGCCGCCTTTACTTCCCAGGACTGCACCCGGACTGCAGTCAAGGCTGGGTCGACCTGGTAGCCAAGTACATTTTGGAAAAAAAGTTGGGCTACACCAGGGAGTGAACCCATGACCTTCTGTTTCGCAGGCGAGCGTCTAGCTGCTTCGCCACAGCGACTCCCACTATGGACAAAGACAAATAAACTTCTTACATGATCTGAAAATGGAAGAGAATTGGCTCATAAACAGCATCCTGTCCCGAAAGATCAAGTATGTGAAACATCACAATGTCCTGGAGAGAACCGTGATGTAGGGTGTAGTTTCTGGAAAGTGGGGCAGAGGCAGACTGTTGTACACTTAATACAGCTGTAAACGGCAATCAATTAAGGCCTACTGTTAGTTCATGTATGTCCGATAAGTTCGTAAAGCTGCTAGAAACACCCGTTAGCACTGCATACACTTAAAAAAATAGTTTATAACTCCTTTCAGGATCCGTTAATTTATAACTTTATGTAGAACAGTTAAATGTATTCGTTCAAACGATCATCAGTCAGTAGCACGAACACTGGATAAATCAACACTGTTTATAAATCCATCAAAGGACCGGCTTGGCCATCCACTGTTGTACACTTAATTTGTACACTTTGTTGTACTCTTTGTTGTAGTACACTGTATCTTCAAGAACCAAGTATTTAGGCCTAGGGTGCCTATTCTAGTATTCCGCTGGATATCTCCTTGATGGATGTGCTACAGTGAAGTCCTGCTTACTATAACTGGCACACTTGGCACAGCATCATCTAACACAGTTGCTATCTTTACGAGTCAACGATAACGCTTGTGACAGGCCACATAAACTTTAATGTCATTAACATTACACGTCACAAGATGATGATGATTAGATTATTCAATAAAACATGTACGATAATAAATCTCTATTATCTACTCTGATGATATAACAATCTGTCTCAATGGACTCCTGCCATTGTAATAATTACATAGACATTAAACTGTCTCCCGCAAACAACGGTTAATCAAAACGTTTTATAATATCCTCATATCAGAGAGCCTAATGTTTTCCACACGTCCAACTTGGACAATGGAGACTTCCCAACTGCCTGGGTCTCTGTCCTCTACGCCCAGCATTCAATTAGCTCGTATCCTAGGTAACGACCTGTGGCCGCTGTGTGAACCTTTCAGTTGCGCTGTGACCACTAGAAGAAACTGTAACTCTTGGACAATAAGATTACAACACAGACCTCCACAAAGGTGGAGACAAGTCATTGAAGGTGCATTGGCCATGAAAGCACATAGGGCTGGGGAATTGGCTAAAGCAAGAGACTTTCAGGCGTGCCGTGACGAGAGCAACATTTTGTAAAGGACCTGTTGACTGATGATAGTGTTTGATTTTATTTCTTCCAGTGTCCTAAAAAGGGTCTGTCCTTGAATATAAAGGAAATAGAGAAAATGATTATATCAAAGAAAATAAAACTACCACAGTGTAATATTAGAATAGAAGGTAAAAAGTTGATCCATGCCATATAAGAATAGAAAGTTAAAAAGTTGATCAATATGATATTACAATAGAAGGTTAAAAAGTTGATCCATGTGGTATTAGAATAGAAGGTTAAAAATTTGATCCATGTGATATTACAATAGAAGGTTAAAATCTTGATCCATGTGATATTAGAATAGAAGGTTAAAAACTTGATCCATATGATATTAGAATAGAAGGTAAAAAGTTTATCCAAATCAATAAATTCAAATATTTGGCTACAATCATAACACCAGACTGAAGATATGTATCAGAAATTAAGAGCAGAATAGGCCATGCTAAGGCTGCATTTCACAGAATGAAGAACATCTTGTGCAACAGCTCCCTCTCTTTGGATGTCTGAAAGACGGTACTAAAATGTTATGTAAAATCTATATTGTTGCATGGTAGTGAATCATGGAGTGTGAATGCACAAATAAGAAAGAACTTGGAGGTGACAGAGCTGAGGTTCCTCAGACGAATGTTAAAGGTCCCTTGGACTGCCAGAGTGTCTAACGAGGATTGCTTCAAAGAAGCCAATGAAAAAACATCTATATGTACAGCATTAAGGAAAAGACAAGCATGGTTCTTTGTACATGCCATTGGGGGGTGGGGGGGTGCAATTTACTTTTTTGACTTTTTTATAGATAGTACCAGGAAAAGATATAAAACCGAACGAAAAGTATATTAGCAAGCTTCACAATGTAACAAATACAAACAAAACATGAACGTTGCGGCTATGGAGCCTTCATCAGCACATGCAAATCAAACATTACTATAGAAATACACAAAATTACTTAGCTGGTATCTTGAAGCAGCCGGGTTTGATGACCAGTTTTTCATATGGAACACCGAGGGACGTTTGATTTGATTTTTTTTTACTGGCACAGTAACAGAGCATGTATGGGGAAACATGACTGCAGTGAAGTTAAAACCTCGGCTACTTCGACTACTTAATTTATATATTACCTCACAACATGTGAAATTTTCATTCACAAGGTGAAGGTAACAGAAAACCTGGACGAGTTGGAACGACTGCACATTCTCATTGACTACGATGAAGAAGGATATTTACTGCAGATTTTTACCAAAAACATGCAAGACAGGCCAACTTTGTTCCTGGAGGTCATCCAAAGACATAATCACCAGGTACGGCCACTATGGCACTTCTCAGCCTAATCTCTTTCTTTTGATAAACCATCATCAGCACTCTCCATATGAGTTCTGCAACCCCATTTTGCGAAGAAGAGAAACAAAGAATAGACCAACTGCCCTTCAACAAGCAAGTCGTAACTGACTAATTAGGGGTGCTTCCTGTTGAGTTGAGTTTAGAATTGACATCACAGCACTCGGGTCATTCCCATGCATGCTCTGTCCTCATCTTCAGTACTAATGCAGAGTTCCAGTACTGATGGTACCGGTCACAATCTGGTTATATGCCCGTCTTGCCTTTCCTCTGAGTGTAGTGAGCCGGCCAGACCCTCTGGTTACACTCAGATACCTCATTCTCTCCAGGCCATAATAATCTTCTTTCTTTACTGATTCCGTTGCTTGTTCCCAAAGGGCCTTGACCACATCTCCTTGTCATGTATCAATTCATCACCCAGTGGTGAAGATCCAGCCAATCTGTCTGCCTGTTCCATGCTGGCATGGCCTTGAGAAAAAATCCAAAGTATGCTCACCACCCGTGACCCTTCCAGTGAAGCTTGCCAGTCTGCTCGAAGTATCCCTGTCCTCACCTTTCTTAGCATGCTTTCAGAGTGTGTTACAATTACGGCATGTGTATGCATCTTGTTCTTTAACCACCGTAGAGCCAGGGGTGCTTCCTTCAAAGTCATAGTTTATCTGCCTGAGAGATGAGGAATCAACAGTCTGCATACAAACAAGCTGTATTGTGTGACATTTACTCTGGTGCATCAAGAGTAAATGAAGCCAGTGTTTTGTGAAGTATGGGTTCACACGGGCATTCATGTTGTGTTGATGGGAGTCACTGGAAGAGAGTGGAGCATGAGCCACTGATGAAACATGTCGCTGTGAAGTTCATGACGGACTTGCCAACATCAAGGATATTGTGGGATCCATGTGGGTCGACTGCATGGGAACTCTTGTGTGTGGCTGAAGCATCATACACCCTGGATGCTTTGTAGGATGCGTTATCGCCTAAGAATGCATTTATCATAAGCCAGACCCTTAAAACTGGTATACATGCAAAAGTGAATTTCTGGAACATGACTAAAGTTCACAAGTTTACGAACAACCAAAACTTTCCACTGGAGTTGAATCCGCCCTAATATGGACCGTTTTTTTAAAGCCCTAATCTCATTGTCATTAAGAGCCCTAATTAAGGCTTACGAGTTGAATGGGGTTTCTGGGACTTGCACCCGGGATTTTCTCATCCGAATGGTGGAACTTTTTGCCACTTGGTGTTTATCCCTTGTTGTGCGGTCCTGGTGAGGATTGAACATCAGTCGTCAGTCAAAGTCCACTGGAGTTTACAGCCTGTCAATGCTTAGAAGAAGAAGACGCAGAATCATAGTTCTATAAACCATGTGTCATTGTGACACTAATTGATGTTAATGGTCTGTTCAGTTTCCTTCCCCTCTATTGGTCAGCTAACTTTTTATTATCATGTAGAACTCCTTTACATCGCTGTCATCACAGCCCATTTTTTCTTTCTTCTTCATGTTCACCGGATGTAAACTCCAGCGCAAAAGTTCTGGTTGTTCATCCACTTCTGGATTCTAGTCCGGTTCCAGAACCTAAGTGTTGCACGCACATCCGTTTTACAGTTCTAACTCATTTGTATGTTGACTGTTGGTTCCTTGCCTCTCATCTGACTTCAAATTAAGCTCCCAGTCATGACTCTTAAGACACGCTTTTTGGGCAGGCAGTGGGTCTGTTATTTTTTACCCCATAATGGGACCCCGGAACTCACATGGGGGAAAACCCGTTTGAATATAGAGAGTTATTCAAAATAATTATTACTAATGTCCTTAAATATATATTGACCATGAATAATATGCATACAAGAGAGGGGAAGATACAATGTGGCGAATACAGCCGCAAGAGCGCTGTTGCTTTACCAACAACTTGAGAGCACAGCTGCAGTGATGCTGCAGTTACCACTTAGATGTTTGCCGAGCAGCAGACGGTGGCCTTATTGAACATCTGTAATCTATAACCTCTCTTGTTAGTTTGTAAACTTTAGACTTTCCTCTGTCTCTTGTATGTATATATAATGTATATTCAAGGAAATCTACATGAATGAAAGTGTATCCATCATTTTGAATAACTCTGTATAATAGAAGATGCTGAAAACCTGCACCTGGAGAGAATGTTCGCAGCAGCAAGTATCTATAGGCTCTGGGCACCACTAACGACTTGGCTTGGGTAAGGGGGTGGGTGGCGGAGGCAAGAGGAGCAGGTAACCAGATAATAGGTAGCATCAGTATGGAGACACTTCACTGAGGAGTGAGACACAGCTGAAATGGGGGCTTGTCCTGAATTCTGTGATGTGGAATTTGTATTTAAAGGAACCATTCTCTCCCAATATGGATGCTTTGTTCTGTTGTACTGATTTTTTAGGAGGTTGAGCAGGTTACTTGGGACGAGCCCTGCCGGACTGTAACAGTCAGGGGTGGTTAAACTTTCAGGGGGAAAGAAAAAGAAAAAGCAGACAGACAAACAGTATGCAGCCGAAAATAGGTTCCAGGAAATAGAAGTGGCCGGATGATGTTGTTGACTGCATCTCTAAGTGCCGACTGGTCTATAAAAATGTGGGTCCAGTAGTTCTTTGTTCACCAACTGTAAGCTCTGGCAGAGAGTAATGGTCTAGTACTATATTGTCTGATGTTACAATGGTGTAAATAGAAAAAGGGGTGGAGGGGGGAGGGGGGGTCCTAAAAGTAGAGGGAGAGAGACCTTCAGGCATGCAGAGATGAGAGCAACATTCTGTCATTCTGTAAAAGACATGATGATGATGATGATAGCACCATGTGTACCGTATACCAAGGATTAAAAGGGTCCATAATTCTTCTTCTTTTGTTGCCAAACTGTTGCCCGGGTTGTAGCCTGATGTCTTGGTTTCCTGTATTTGTCTTGAGTGGCTTGGGTAAAATTGCTGTTGCAGGTTTCAGCTACTCCATCTATCCATTTCTTCCTTGGTTACCCTCTTGCCTGCCAAACAGAGGTTATGCTGTATAAGGTCTCATACACAGTTTGGTCTGCCTGAATTCTTACTAGATGGCCAAACCACTTCTCTGTGTGTTTTCTGACTCCAGCTGAATTCAGGCAGGGGCTTGTTCTAACTTTCTCTCTAACGCTGGTATTTGTGACCCTATCCCTTCTTGTATTGTTTGTGACTAAATGGGTAATGATGGTTAGTTGCGAATCCTTTACAGGACGTTGCAGAACCAACCCCAACAGCCCCTGGCTGTTGTGTGGTTTTTCTAGGCAATTTACGTCCAGTAGTTTGTCATTGCTTTCTGGGCGGTCGACTTTCTTGATACCACTGTCGAAACCAACGCAAGGCGCATGGCCCGCAGCTGGGATCAAACCCGGCATTACGAAGCGTTGGCATCTACTTAGCCACAGAGCCGACAAATAGGTAATAAGACCTACGAATGTTGTGTTACTTCCTAAATCTTTCCAGTCCTGAAACAATTAATTACTTTTATATACCCACAGGGTTTTGGAGCAGGAAACTTCAAGTCCCTATTTGAAGCCATTGAAGCTGATCAGGCAGAAAGAGGCAATTTGTAACACTGGCAATTTATGAGGCCTTAACATTGGATGAGCCAAACTTATATGCAGGAATTCATATTATGCTGTTATTTCCCAGTAAATTGTACATGTTTTGCATTCATTATAGTAACTGTTTAATTTTAATCTCCCCGAAAGTGTCCACAGTTCTGTGACATTCCATATTGTAGCTTCGTTTGATTGTGTCACCCAGTCAATTTTTCATATTTCTGCATTCCATATTCTGACTGTTTGAATTTATCTTCCAATAAATTGTTAATTGTTTTACAGTCTGGAATAGTGACTGGCTTTGTCTTTAAGTAAATTGTTCACATTTCTACAATCTGTTCAGTGACTGTCTTTGTCTTTCAGTAAAAATTCTACATTTCTACAATCTATTCTGTGACTGACTTTGTCTCTCAGTAAATTGTTCAAATTTCTACAGTCTGTACTGTGACTGAATTTATCTTTCAGCAAATTGTCCACATTTCGACAGTCAGCAGTGTGACTCTTTCATTTTATCTCTCATTATATTTTCCATATTACTGTATTCCATATTGTGACTGTATGTTTGACTTTGCCAGTAAATTGCCCATTATTCTACATTCCATATTGTGACTGTTTGTTTGATTTTGTCTCCAAGTAAATTGTCCATAATTCTATATTCCATATTGTGACTTTTTAAATTGTGTCTTTCAGTAAATTGTCCATAATTCTACATTCCACATTAGACATACTTGCTTGTTTGATCTGATTTCTCAGTAAATTCTCTATAATTCTACATTGTGTCTGCTTGTTATTAACCATGTGTGATGTTTTTCATGCTTGCAAACCAGTGGTGTAGGATGGGAGCCAATACTTTACCTACTTATTTTAAAGTTTAACCATGTCCAAGCATTTGATCTTATATATGCAAACATATGAGGAATTCTCTCTGGTGGGATGTTATAAGGACCAAGTTTCACATTGGAGTTTTCTTTAGTTCTGCTTTCTTTTCTTTAGTTTTTGCTTTCTTTTCTTTAGTTCTGCTTTCTTTTCTTTAGTTCTGCTTTCTTTTCTTTAGTTCTGCTTTCTTTTCTTTAGTAGTGCTTTCTTTTCTTTATTTTTGCTTTATTTTCTTTGGTTCTGCTTCATTTTCTTTGGTTCTGCGTCATTTTCTTTGGTTCTGCTTCATTTTCTTTGGTTTAGCTTCATTTTCTTTGGTTCTGCTTCATTTTCTTTGGTTGTGCTTGTAAAGTTTCAGCACTTTTCCCCTCCTGCATTTCTAAACTGCTCGAAGATTGGTACTCTCAGTGTATTCTTTTTCTCCTTTTTTAAAAAATCACCCTTAAAGGGGTTGTTCACAAGTCATGTTGTGGTTTACAGCTGGGTGGCAATATCTGAACCTTTTTGCTCTACACTTCTGATTTTAGCAAATGTCTAATGCCTTTTAGGACATGCTTGTAGGAGGCAGTGGGTCTATTATAAACCCCCCCCCCCCCCCCCCCCCCCACACACACACACCCAGAAGGGGGCACTTGAATCCACACAGAAAAATCTGTCAGTGTCTTACGGTGTTCAGTTGTTTAAAGAAAGAAAGGCTTTTTATATCGGCATATCTATGAATTAGGTTTCATAATCCCAACACACCAGGGCTCAAACTCCGCTACAGATGATTTGGCAGCTGATCACTTGGCTCTAACTTTGACAATCATGTGAGACTTTGTGGTAACAGAATGCCATGGGCTGTGTTGCGTGCAACAGGAAAATCAGAAAGGCAATAATAATACAGAAGAAAACGATTGCTGATAGGTTAAGAGCTAAGTGTTTGAGAAGAATGGCAACAAGGGTCCTCAAATCCCCTGCTCTAATCATAGAAGACTTGTATTAACACAAACAGGTCTCGCTAGTTTTACTCTCCATCGTCATGGGCTGTGAGTCCCATGCCTCAGTATAAGTTAGTTGAGGATCCTTTACAGGACGTTGCAGAACCAACCCCAACAGCCCCTGGCGGTTGTGTGGGTTTTCTAGGAAAATTTACGTTTAGCAGTTTGCCATTGCTTCTGGACGGTCAACTTTCTTGATACCACTGTGGAAACTAATCGCAAGGTGCATGGCTCACAACTGGGATCGAACCCGGCATCCCGGCTTTATGAAGCGTTTGCATCGACTTAGCCACAGAGCCGACATGCCTCACTATAGGACAATATAACATTATCACCTGGGAAGACGAAATGTGCCAACAACATGAGCATGATATCATTCAAAAAGCAAACTCATTAATTTATTCAATGTCCTATTAGGACATTATGTCATATAAAGCTGACAGAGAATATGGCCCATTCTAAGAAGAGATCGACAGAACATCACCCAACAGGCACTGCCATCATTCGTCCATTTATTTACAAAATAAAATAAAAAAATTGACTTCATTTAACTTGCTGCAAGCAGTATTGGTTATAATTGGGGTTTGGTTTCTTTGTGCCAATTATGTTGGCTAAGAAATCTTCTTCTTTTCCACCTTATCGAAGTTTGGGGGGGGGGGGGGGAATATGTCTTAATGCCATCACTCCATCTTTCTAGAGGTCTTCAACTCGCTCTGTACCCATTTTAGTGTGGCTCGCTGTGGCAGATAGTACCAGGGCATTCTTGTTAGTTGTCCAAACCACTTAATTTGGTTTTTTTTGATGACTTGTAAGACTGGCTTTATTCCTAGCATTCGTCTGATTTCGTATTCAGTCTTTCCTTGAAACTCCTGCAGCTCTTCTAAGGCATTTCATCTCTGTTGTCACAATTTTACATTAACTAGAGGATGTAAGTGTCCATGTTTGCCACTGATAACATAAAGTAAAGTAAAGGACCCTTTCCACGCCTTTAGGCGTATAGGGCATATAGGGCTAGACCTATATTTTTATAGACCAATGGCACAAGATGGGTGATGTAGTCAGCATCACGCCCACTGATAACATAGTGTTGGCCAAAAAATAGTTCTGATAAGATTCACTTTAGTACTTCAGGGTTTCTGCTCGTGTGTCAACAGGGGAGATAATTGCCTCATTACTTGATTAGCTTTGGCACATCTCGAGCTAATTTCTTTGAATTTTTAAGAAATGTTAATTGCACTAAAAGTAGTGCCTAAATAGAGGGATTAAGGAAGCGAGGATGTCCAAGAGAAACCATGAAACGGACACTGACAAGAGAAGCCAAAGATACTGGTCTGGATTCCATCCATTATTTTGAAATTATTGCAGAGGATAGAGCGGAATAGAGAATTGGCACACTACAGAACATAAACTTGCTTAGTGAAACCCACACAGTACTTAATAGATACTGAGGTTGGTTTAACATTGTCCTGAAAAGCAAAGTAACTGGAATGTTCTGTCACTTAAGCTCACATGGAGAGTCATGGGTGTAAAAGCAAAATAAAACACACAAAGGGTAGGATGTAAGCAAACCTTGCCAGGACCAAAAGAGAGAACCCAGTCATGTTCAGAAATGGCAGTATCATACAGTCAGGGACAGTAAGCCACAACAACCCATTTAACCTATTGAACTTGGTACACACACAAAATCAGACCATAATTATAACTGAAGCTCTCTTTATCAGGTCTGAACATGGTCAAATTTGTTTCCCTTGAAATAAACAAGACACGAAGGTAGTTAAAGAGTCAGGTGCAACAAATGGGGTGAGCTAAACATGATAGCAACAAATGCACATTGTGTTCTTTTTTTGTCAATTCATGTCTTGACCAGTTTAGCCTTGCTGGTGTTTACAGAAATGAGACACTATCAAATTGTATATTATCCCTGTCGGGTTCCAGGTCTCTAGTTTTGGGGAAGAAAGAATGGACGCACTGTCCTTTACAAGTGGTTAAAAAACACTAAGGAGTTGCTAAAATCACATGTAATGGGCTGAAAGGCGCAGATATCGCAGCCTAGCTTTAAACCACAATACATCATGCCAACCACCCTTCTAGGGGTGAACAAAGAAGAAGAAATTATATATTAACTATCTTTGGCAAAGGGGTTATGTTATTATTTTGTTTGTTTGTTAGACCATATGTTATTTTATTGTAATTGCATTTGTTTCCATTATGGCATTTGTCTTTGCTAGAGTGCACTAAAGATGTTCTCAGCTGAACAGTAAAGGATGTTTTATCTCCTTGAGTGCCAAGCGGTTTTGCAGATGTTCATATGCATACATAACGAGTAGCACAAACCACGAGTGTATAACTTTCAACAAAGTCAAATGCTGGGAAAGCCACATTTTTTTTAAATTTCTTGTAGTGTGCAGTGGCCTAAATGTAAAAAGTACAAGAACATAATACTTGTTGAGTGGGATTCACAGAAGAGCTAATCACACATCATACATTGTATGGGGTCGAAGGAGTTTGACCATCAAAAAACACATATTTACTGAAGTTATGAAGTAGCAAAGAAAATAATTGTATGGTTGGGGGTCACCACAACTTGAGGATTTGACTTGATTTGATTCAAGAACCGACATCACAGCACTCAGGGAATTTCCATAAGCGCTCCGTCCCCATCATCAGCAGGCAGTGAAGAGTTCCGATACTAATGGTGCCAGTAGCATTCTGATTAAACGTCCGTCTTGCCTTTCCTCTGAGCCTCAAACGTCTGCCAGAACCTCACGTCACTCCCCGCTGCATTAATCTCACCAGACTGTGGTGATCCATCTGCTCCTCCGAATTGTACACGCTCTCCCACAAGGCACTAACCACGTCTGCCTTATCATGCATCAGTATTCCACTAAGTTGTGCAGAGCCAGTCAGTCTGTTCGCCTTTTTTTCCCTAACACACCGGCGTGTCCCGATGACAAAATCCAGAAAATACTCCTCACCCGTGTCCTCCGCAGCGAGGCATGCTATTCTGTACAAAGCATGCCTTTCCTGATCTTCATCAGCTTGCTTTCTGAGTCAGTTACAATCACGATGTGTGTGGGTGTGTGTCGTGTTCTCTAGCCAGCGGAAAGCTGCCTCCAGCTCCATTCTTAAGCTGGATCTTGTGGTATCATATGGGAG